GTTCTCTGATCCTTTGTAGTCTTTGTTGGAAGAACAAGTATTATTAAAATATCTATACTACCCAAGGCAATCTACACATTGAATGCAATCCCTTTTAAAATAATACCAACATTCTTCACAGAGCTAGAACAAACAATCCTAAAATTTGTATGTAACCACAAAAGACCCAGAATAACCAAAGTAATGTGGAAAAAGGAAACCAAAGCTGAAGGCATCACAATTCCAGACTTCAAGCTGCATTACAAAGCTATAATCATCAAGACAGTATGGTACTGGCACAAAAACAGACATATAGATCAATGGACACAATAGAGAGCCCAGAAATGGACCCACAATAGTATGGCTAACTAATCTTTGACAAAGCAGGAAAGAGTATCCAATGGAAAAAAAAGACAGTATCTTCAGCAAATTGTGCCAGGAAAACTGGACAGTGACATGCAGAGGAATGAAACTGGACCACTTTCTTACATCATATGCAAAAATAAATTAAAAATAGATGGAAGAACTAAATGTGAGACAGAAAACTATCAAAATCCTAGAGGAGAAAGGAGGCAACACTCTCTTTGAACTCGACCTCAGCAGATTCCTACTAAACGTGTCTCTGGAGGAAAGGTAAACAAAAGCAAAAATGAACTATTGGGACCTCATCAAGATAAAAAAAGCTTCTTTACAGCAAAGGAAACAATCAACAAAACTAAAAGGCAACCGATGGAATGGGAGAACATATTTGCAAATGATTTATTGGATAAAGGGTTTGTAGCCAAAATCTATAAAGAATTTATTAAACTCAACATCCCCAAAACCAATCATCCAGTGAATAAATGGGCAGAAGACATGAATAGGCACTTTTCTAAAGCAAGCATCCAGATGGCTAACAGACACATGAAAAAAATTCTCAACATCACTCATCATCAGGGAAATACAAATCAAACCACAATGAGATGCCACCTCACACCTGTCAGAATGGCTGAAATTAACAACTCAGGAAATGACAGATGTTGATGAGGATGTGGAGAAAGGGGAACATTTTTGCATTGCTATTGGGAATGCAAATTGGTACTCTAGAAAACTGTATGGAGGCTCTTCAAAAAATTAAAAATAGAACTACCCTACGACCCAGCAATTGCACTACTGGGTATTTATTCAAAGGACACTATATAT